ATTGTTACCAGTTTTTACTCCGGTGCGCTGCCAAGATGAGACAATCTAGCGTGACCCACCGGTGGGTCACCCTGTCGTGAACGTGTTAAAGGTCGTGTTGGTCAAAATCATTTTAAAACCAGATGTGAAAGGATATATTTTGCTGCCATTTCAAATGATTGTGAAAAACTCGGTCTGAAAGCCTAAGAAGTTGGCAGGTCTTAATAAGGTATGCATTAATTTTAAAAGCTATACTAAAATTTAAAAAAAAAAACTAAAACTAAAACTGACATAAAAAAATTCTAACCTTCAAATTGCATGAAGGTAACGGTGAACATGTTAATATCAGTTTGATAACATACGAGATTTATTGATAGTGTTGAAAAGTTCTTCATTGTTTCAATAGAATTTCTGAATCAATCGATCCTAAAGCTAAAACCCTCCTCATCGATGGAAAGAAATGATAGTTTTGTGTCTGAATTTCAGATTTAATGAAGACAGTAGGTTATTCTGTTGATGTTTTTGTGACCAGATTAATTTGAGAGAATAAAATCTAATCTGTTTGCTGCGCTCCAATGCATAAGACTTCATAAAAGATTTCGTTTAGGTGATACGATATTTATGTGCAATTATTCTATAAAGCTAAACACTATTTTATCCCTCTGACGCAAAAGAGACCGGTGTCTTTTAATATAGTTTTTTTTCTGACGCTCTAATTACAAGTAAAAATATATTTTCCTTTTTTTTTCTAACTATAAAAAGTTTTATTCGCTTTTTTTTTTTAATTATAGTCTAATAGTTACAAAAAAATCTGTTAAATTATCGGAATTATATTTGTACTAAAATATAAAATCCAAAAAAAAGCAGTTTAAAAAAATATTTTTTTTTCGTATTCAAAAATTTATCTATATTTTATTTTGTAAATTAAAGAAATTTATAATAAATAATTGTTTCTCTTAAATCTAAATAAGTGCAAATTTGAAAAATTACTGCTTGGAAGAGAGCCGAATTTGGAAGATCTTGCGTTTAATGCAGAAAAAGACATCAGTGTTTCATGCTGTATTTTATAACTATAAATTATTAAAATGATAAGTATACTATTTTTCACCTATTTTGACCTAAATTAATACAAAAGAGTACTAGTCTTCCGGATTGGGTTCAAAATGACAAGGCTTTGGAGTTGAACATCAGTAGTCGTAAACCCAAAGTTGGGGCGTTCAGTAAAATCTCCGTTGTTTTATTTCTCCAATGTTAGCAGGTATGCTCTCTTCGAGTGCTCCGATTTTATCGTAAATTCAATGACTTTCCGGTAGTTATTGCTGCCCTTTTTCACGTATTTTCTGAAATCGCGATTTTTAAAAAGTTATGAAACGCTTTATTTGTGCAAACTTCATGAAAAATCTAATCTTTTTCGGCAGTTGTTGCTACGCATTTCCGCATGGTTTTTAAAATTTTGATATTTTGGCACGATATTATTACGAATCGCGATTAAATAATCGCTCATTTAGATAACCATTTTTTGACGTGGTTTATTTGTGCCAATTTTATTGCAAATCAAATTATTTTTCAATCGTTATTTTGGCAATTATTGTTACACATCTCTACAAGGTTTTGAAAGTCCGATATTTTTTATACGCTATTTTGATACTTTAATTTCGCATTTAAATACATAAAATTTTGACGCGTTTTATTTACACCAATTTCACCGCAAATATAAAGGTATTTTGATAATTTCCTTTGTAGTAATTACTACGCTTTTTACCCGTGATTTAAAAAAAATTTATATTTTTCATATAATTTGACAGCACGCGAGTTTTGAATCGCGCATTAAAATAATTACTTTTTATGTGCTGTATTTGTGTCGATTTTTACATAAATATAAGAGGTTTTTCGAACGTCTTTTTACTTGTAATTTAGAATATCCTGATATTTTAGCACAATATTACAACTCTTAAAATTCGATACTGTTTTAATTTTTTTTTGGAACTTAAAAAGTAATTACGTATTTTAGCAAAATCGATACCTTCCTAAAAAGAATAAAAATGAAAAATAAAAACAAGTTGTGTACATTTATATTAAACGCGTTCCCCTTTGCTAAAAAATAATTCAAAACACGTGTATATTTCTTTAGTCCCATGAACAAGTGCAAGTTAACATCACACACTCAACCTATTCTTTTTGTTGTTACATGATTTAAAAATCACATGTCGAGATTCGTATTTATACGTTTTAAAAATCATACGTTTTAATTCTTCGCGTAATTTAAAATTCACACATCGTAATTCGTATTTACGCGATCTTAAAATTGCGCAGCGCATTTCGTATTAAAAATAACGAGATTTAAAAATCATCCATCGCGATTCATATTCACGCGATTTAAAAACCATATATCGCGATTCATATTCACACATTTTAAAAATCATGCGCTGTGAGTAGTCTTTTCGCAATTTAAAATTGTACATCTCAATTCGTATTCACGCAATTTGAAAATCACACATTGCGTTTTATATTTGCGCAATTTAAAAAGCACACATAACAATTAGTATTTAGGCAATTATAAAATAACACATCGCTATTTGTATTCACGTGATTTAAAAATATGGAAATGAAGAACACCATCTAGGACAAATTCCAAAAGTGATTAAGTTTTTTGCCCTAATTTAATACTACCCACAACAACAGCTTCTGTCATAAGACTGTTTTCCAGAATAAATTTGGCCTGTTCAAAATTACAGAGCAGTCTTTTAACAAATTCATTTAATGGCTCGAAAAAGCATGATCAAGTGAATCACATGATCAAGTGAATAAAATTATCCCAATATTTAAAAATTTTGCAAATTACAGGATAACCATTAAGAAAATTTTTTAACCATTTTCTTATGCTATACTTCCACCATTTCATATCATTCATGATTGTACGCTGGGAAATGATTTGTATATCATTAAATTTTAACAGTAAAAAATATAATCAAAATAAGTTTCGTTAAGTAATGTAAATGTTACTAATTGTTTATGCATATGTGTATTAATTGTAAATAGAAAGTGTCATGTTAAAAAAATATTCGCCATAAAAAATTTTAAACAAGTATCTTAATAGTTTTTTATTATTAAGGAAAATAGTTTATTCAAGATTAATGCTTTCTTTCTTTCTTCCCTCTCTCTGCCCCTGCTTCCTATCATTAATTTAAAATAAATGTTTTAAAGTTTAAGTATATTCCCCTTCTAAATGCTAAATCTTATTTTCCGCAGATGGGGTTTTGTTTCAATTTTTATCATTTTTAACCCTATAAACTTTCTTTAAATCAAAGTATTTAACTTGTATTTATTTTAATAACTAGAACATTTTTTTAAAATTTATTTCTATGAACAAATTTTTTAAAGTTAAAATTTATGTTAAAATGGACTTATGTATTATGTAATATGACTTTTAAAAAACATGTATTTTCCCATAGTTTTTTAATTATTTCAATTTATCTAAATTTTCTTCTGATTAACTGATTCTGTTTTTTCTTAGAAGGCTCAGTTTTTTCTTAGTTTAGAAGTTTTTAACTTTAAGCATTTAAAAGTATTTAATTTTATGCTAAGATATTACAAGGTTAACTTAGAAAAAGAATTTAGTGGTTAGAACAATGTTTTTATAACAATTACTACCTAAAATTGTTGTGAATATGTTTGTCTAAATACTTTGGGTGTTCCCTTTGGCATGCGGCCCTTCATTAGTCAATCTGCTGCGCATGTGGCCCTTCACTCAAAAAGGTTGTGCACCCCTAACATAGAGCAATGTACCGTCAAAGTAAATAATTTGAACATGTAGATTTAAAAAAAAATTGGTAATTACATGAATCTCCGCTAATCGTACAACTAATTTTAGAAAAAAAATCGTTGGAATTTTATTTCTATAAATTAGGACAGTGCATTTTAAATATAAGTTGCTTATTAACGTTATCCTATCAATTGTACCTTCCAAAATTTGAGGTTTGTGGGAAACAATTTCATTGAGAAAGAATTATAGTTTTTAAAAATTCAGTTAATGAGAGAGATTTAAAATAAACTGTATTATTATGAGACTTTCATTACAACTTAAGAAAAATGACAATTTGTCAACATGACCCTATGGTTAAATCATTTATATGAACAAAATTCTTTTGATTCTAATTAATTAAACTAATGCATTATTTTTCCTCCCACTAGGAAAAGTATTTTCTAAAACTACGGAAGTTCCATTTTGGTTAGTGGGTATGCCATTAGTGCTTAGTATCTTTATATTCCATACCATATATTATATACATACAGGGATGACAACTGCTCCACGTTCAGCAAATTTTTTAACAAATTGGTAGCGAATGAATTAGTAAAAATTGAAGAATTAGGATAATTACGCCTACTCTTTAAAAGAGTATCCACGAAGAATACTTATATTTGCTGTATTTAATATGATATTTCAAATTTTTGATATGTAGTGGTACAAAAATGAATTAAAATGAAAAATAAACTAGAAATAGTGTAAATTTCATAACAACTAGAAAATAATTTTTTTGAAAGCGTAGCAAGTTGGCATCGCTGTGTGTATATACATACAATAAGAATACTTACATTTGGGTGCGTGGATAGAGCGGGTGCTTTTTTGAAGGTGAAATTGTGGTCAAAAGAAAAAATATTCACTTACATAAACAAGGAAAATGTTTTTAGTGGTAGTAACATTTATATTTCAATATATAAATCTTTGTTTTAAAAGTTTAAATAGAATGCTCGCCTCAACATGAAAAAATTAATTAGTCTAATGCATGTACTTAATACCAATTTATTTACCAAATTGGCTCTTCATTTCAACTCTCGGAGAAAGAATCTCTTTCTCGTCAAGGCAGCGTTCGTACGTTCCTACAAATTTTAAAAATAGGTGCTAATATCCTAATAGTTAAGTTAGTAAGTTTTTTTTAATTATAAACCATCACATAAATTATAACCATATTATTTTACCATCACATTAAATACTAAAAACTCATTTTAAATCTTCCAGAAAATCCATAAGAGCTGGCAGACCTGAAATTATTTCATGAAAAGGGCCGTCGGTGCCCAGTTGAAGGATCTGACAAGTTCTGTCCGCGGAAGTACACGACTTCTTTTACAGTAATGCAAAAGGTTCTTTTATAAAAGAAAGTGGTAAAGTATTTAACCTTTCACTCTATAGTAATGTTCTAGCTTAAAGAAAAGTAGCATCTATGGCGCAAAAGAGCTAGTGCATACATACTCAAACTTGTAAGGAAAGTATCCAACTGAACTAAACGGTTACATCTAATACATACATTTAAGGGTATATGCCCAACAACTTTTTGTTTAATTAAGTCTCTTTTTTGCATACTTACATAATGTGGCGTGTTTTTTCACGGACAGAATTTTCCGCTGGACCTAATATTTCGAGTAATATTTCTAAAACCATGTAATTATATTTTTATAAAATTAAAAATTTGCATTACATAATCATACAATAAAAATTAATATAAAACAACATAATGTCATGTTCCAAATATTCTGCTATGTATATAACAAAATTAGTGCGATAAATAAAATGATGCTTAAGGTCTAGGTAAGGATTAGTTTCAAAATTTTAATAAAAGATATCAGAAACTATTAATGACTCTAATGTAATTTGCTGAAATGGGAGACCATTTCTTTAATGAACCGTACTTTCCTCTTATTTACATAATAGGATTAACATTCATTTCTCACATGAAAGGTTTCATTGTAAATAACAGAACCAGTTCTACTTTTAATTATGCTTGTCTAAATCTTATTATAATTTATTTACATACCAATAGGTCTTAACCAATTCAGCCAATTAAATGAGATACTTTCTGAACGCTGTTGTTTTTATTATTTTGATCTTTGACATGCATGGGTATTATAGAATTTGTCCACCTCATAAAAATGTCATCGTTTATGAGGAAGAAGTTCACAGTCTACCATTTTTTTCTTCACACACTTCGACGAATTGCAGATTAAATGGCCTGGAAACATGCTAATATGCTGTATATTACAAAATTTATTAGTCAGAACAGACCACCAACATTATGAAGGTTTGTTGTTAATCATGCATTAACTTAATTCAAAGTGGCAGATTTGTAAAGAAGTAAAATTTAAAAGATATGATTAGCAAATGTGGGATGTTAAAAATGTTTTTTTTCTTCATTTATTTTGTTCTGGAATTCTTTATCGTAACATTAAATATTTTCATTGGAAAATCGTCCATTAAAAGAAGTTTTTAAAATTTACCAACATTCAATTCTTCTTTCTATTAACAAGTTAGATTTATTAATATTGTCATTAAATTAAATTTTTATTAAATTTTAATATTAATTTTACATTTATATTAACAAACATTGAGAATGTTTGCATAACTTTTCTTTTATATCGTAATTTTTAAAGCAATGATCATAATTATAATATTTTGGTCAGACATTAATGAATTGCGAGTTGCAAGTGTTTTAAGCGTTTCGACACCTACTAATTCTTTTCTAATGAATCACTTTCATTGCTATAATAAACGTTTAACATAATTCTTCAAGCCAAGTAGAATAATGAATAATAATTGAAAAAATAAATAAATAATAATAAATTAATTTTTTGTCTCAATGTAAAAATTATTTACACTTCGCACTCTAAATAACTAGTTTTTACATTTTGTTCTTTAGCAGCAACTACATATTAGCTTTGAGGTATAGTTAATGTGTAGTTATAAAGTTAATTGTTGTGCAATTATTGTATTAATTGTTCAATTATTGTTACTCTTAAAAATGACCGTAAGCGGTCTCAGGTGCCCAGAAAAATTTTGATGCTGACAGAGATGTCTTGTAAGCTTTAAGTTGGTATATATAATTCGGGATTCGTAGCTAATATTTTCCAAGACTACTGAAAAAATGTTTAAATTTAACTTTTATATGAGAATTGCGAAATGATTTCCGTCAAGTTTTATCTGGGCGACTGAGGCCGTTAGCGGCCCTTTTCCCATCCGTCTTGAAATGTTGTCTTTAAGCTGGCTCTTTCTAGTAATTGGAATGCAAATTGGAGTGAAAGGGAAATTAAATATTTAGTATTTTGGATAAGATTACGTCACTACTATAGTAAGCTGCCATCGGCCTGAGATTTATGTCTTCTCTTAAGTTTTCAAAATTAAAAATTTCATTGAATCCTGCGGTGTCGCAATTTATGGTTTTTTTTAAAAAATTTGTTATTTAGCTTTGCAATATGATGATCTAAAGAATCTATGTTGAGGTCGCGATGTATGTTTTTATTTCGGATAAACCATCTTACTCGTGTTATTTTTCAGAGAATTTTGTTCCAGCATCTTTTGAGTTCTATTAGAAGTGATGTTGTGATGTAAATTATTCCCGTTGTAATTTTTTCAGCGTTATATAATAACTTCAAATAAAAAATTATTGGTAGCTTGGAGCGTCGGAAACCTGTAATTATTCAGCCGTTGAAAATACTTAAAGTGTGAAAATTAATATTCTATCCAAACATATGTAGTATTTTAGTTTTTTAGGCATGAGTTAACAATTAGCAGGGATGTTTGCACCCCAGAAAAGAGAAAAAAAGCAGCAAAACCATTTTGTTGCAAGAATTTTTAAAAACTAATGTGAAGGTTTTTACTATTTTTAAATGTGAATAATCAACCACAATTGCTTTCAATTAAGAATTAAGCCAGTCTGTATCCTAAATGTTGATTGTCAGAAACATTATGATCCTCTTGAAAACATTGTTAGATATAAACACAATTAACTAAGGGCTGAAAGCCTATTCATGTATCAAGATAGAAGAAATCATATATTGGTTGGAAAGACATTTCCTTCCAGCATTCTTTCGAGAACTCAGTATTTATCAAAGTTTTATAAAATTGTATTTGCTTTAAAACCTCTTAGTTTGCAACTAAAAAAAATAGTTAACAAAAAAGCTCAGAAGTTCGAGGCCAATTTAAAAGTCATTTTTCAATGTTTTTTAGAGTTCAATTATTAAAGGCTTTATTTGCAAATAAAAAAACAAGAGTTTAGTGAAGGCAATGGTCGTTGCCGGCAGTATTTTGGCGGAAGTTTTTTTTTGGCTCATCCCATGTCGTATATTTGCTCACTTTGTTGCGTTTTCAGTCGACAAGGTTGGGTAAGCTTTAGAAAGCAACGCAGCGTGAATTCTTGCAAAAAAACAAGGGCTCAGGGAAATCGTTCACTCAACCACTCCAAGTTTCAGAGAATTATTATCCAACTGGTTATTATATAAAGATGCATACCTGATAACGTGATAATGCAGCAAAATATTTATAAAAGATTCAGATGATTTCTGATATACGAGATAAGATTTCTGATACATGAGATTCTTTTAAATACTCATAAACTTGTACCCGATTTTTGATTTTAAACGTAGTATAATAATAGATTTTTTTCTTCTCAAGTTTATTTTAACCAATTTGCGCAATCGACACTCAATTTGGTTGAATGAGGAGCTGCTTCAAATTGTAGTGTTTGTGTGTGGGGGGGGGGATTGCTGTGTTCTCTCAAACATTTTCACTATTCAGCAAATTTTGCTTGCCCATTCTGCATGTTTACGAAAATTTATTTATCATATTCTATTTCGAGAACACAAATGAAATTATGAGTGGTGATTTTTACTTTGATTAAATTTCTATTTCATTTGGAGTAATTAAATTGTAAAGTTTCGAGGATTTGGAAGCAATGAATATCAGAGAGTCTAGCCTTTAACGTAACTAAAAATAAAATGTAAATGAAATATCAAGATGTGAAAATTTAGTGTATTATAAAAATTTAGGAGAAAATAATGAGGCTCATACAAAATCCATGCTATACTGTAAAAAAAAAGGGTAAAAATTAATTCAAACTGCAAATTATCAATGGTAATTTTAAAATAATCACTTTTATTTTTTCTGCTCATATGCTTATTTTATATAATTTATTGAGTTATTATGTATACTAACAGGAAAAATGAACCATGAAATTACATTTACTAGATCCGTATTTACTTTATTGTTGTTCATTTTTTTTAAAAATGCAGCAAATAAATATAGTTTAAATAAGTTCAGCACATTTCTATTAATAAGTAATTTGTTATTATTTTTTTAATTTTTAACTACTGAAATTATTTTTTTATTCTAAAGCGCGATTCTCAGAATACCTATTTCATTCTTGTCGGATGAGATTTGCCGATCATCACTAAATTATTTGTTATTCGATTCACGAGAAAAATTATGTCTTCATCTTTCTTCAATTTTCTTCTTTTTTCATATTTATTTATCAAATTATTCATTACTTATTAACTAGAATAGAAGTAAAGCATTCCCGCCGTGTGCCAGAGAGCTATGGAAGTTAATCTCCACAATGTGACATGATTGTGGCGACGTGGTCAGCATTGCGCACAGGCAGTCTTTACTTTACAGACAAATGGTACCCATTGATTAATTGAGCCAGCCCCGGGGATCGAATTCTGCTTCTTCACAGCAGTTCACGGCCTTACCTATTGACCATTTGATGTTTACTGATTAGAATAATTAAGTTTAAGGCCGTTCAACCATTAATATATTGAGAAGATATTAGCAACAAAATAAGTTCTTTTTATTGAGTTTTAGTTGTTGTTTTATTTACGTCGCACTAGAGCTGCACAATGGGCTATTGGCGACTGTCTGGGAAACATCACTGAGGATGATCCGAAGACATGCCATCACTATTTTGATCCTCTTGAGGGGATGGCAACCCCGCTTCGGTAGCCCGACGACCTGCATTCTACCGTAAGTCGAGCACTTTACGGTAGAACAGTTTAGCGAGGATCAAAACCGCACACCCTTGGTCCCTTTGAAGACTGATGCAAGTGGTCACCTACCCGCACACTGACCGCAGCCAGTGATGCTCGACTTCGGTGTTCTACTGGAAACAGTGTCTTAACGAGCAGTCAACTGCGGAACTTATTGAAGCTAAGTAATTATTTATTTATTAATTATTCGGTCAAATTCGAAATTTCATTCTGCAAAATCGAAATTTTGCCAATTTTTTTCCACAGTTTTAGAAATGAAGAAGCTGGACGTTAAGACTAAGAGAACTTTCCATTTTGTTATTTCGTTATAATACAATCAAAATCGTCATAAAATCCAACTTATCCGAACA